CGCACCGCGTTGTCTCGCAACATACGCTATCCGCTGACCGACCCACCGAAGTCAAATTATATAATCATCAATAACAGCTGAGCGCATGTACAATTTTTTTCGGATCGACGAACGATTTTGCCCTCTTTTTTTCTTTCTCTCCCGTTTTCTCCCTTCGTAAACCGGAAACTCAAGCGACAGTTCCGAACACAGTGCAATTATCTTAGTTGAAAAATTCGAAAGGGCGTTCACTCTCTCTTACACAGATACATCCACGTAAATAGTAATATACGCGTATATTTCCTTCCTTTTTCACATATGTATCCCATGCGCTTTCGCGTCGTTTATATTTTTCTTCCTTCGGATATAAGAAGAGAAAGTAAAAAAAAAGAACGGGAAAACAAACGTACTAATGATTATCAAGTATACATGTTATCGCGCGTATGCGTGTAATCTTTTCCTTCCCTATGAAAAATAATAGCGTAGTTATACGTTATGTAATATTTAATAAGAATATATAAGGTGTGTGTCGGGGCCCACATGCGTTATTTTTTTTCATCTACATCGATATCTTTTTTTTTTTTACTTTTTTACTTTATTACATTACACTTGCGTTTCGCTATCGTTATTTTAGTTTATATCTCATATTACGTATATAAGCAAAACTACGTTAAGGAAAACTTAAAATTTATAAATGTCAAGTGCGCATAACTCAGAGAGGTGGTTCCTCTTTTTTTTCTTTTTCATTATTATGCTTAACGTCGGATCGCTATGAGAAGTTCGATTCTACTCGTACAGGCTACAGTTAAGAAGTTAAAAGATAAGAAGAACACACGTGTATACGCGTAACACGATGCCTGTCACTGCGTATACATCTAAAATATATGAGAAACGTAAATATACAATATATATTTTTTTTTCTTTTCTATTTTTAATCTAGCATTTAAAACAAATTATTGAAAATTAAATAGTCTTCCTTTTTTTCAAGATTCCTGCAGGGCAACCTAAGGCTCTAAAAGGTATAAAAGAAGGAGGACAGTAAACGTACAGAAGATACATAAGAAAGCGGGACTTTTCTCTCAATAAAAGATATAACTGTTGATAAAAATATATGTTTAAAATATTAATGGGAACCTTATACTCGGCAGCATATCGTATAATATTCTGTGCTAGAAAATTGGCGTTGAAACGAAACGAAAATAGCCGTTTTCCTTCGAAAAATCAAGCATGTTAATCTCGCGACAACGTGCTTTGCAGCGACATTACGCGCGACACATAGATCGTAAAAAATGAATTCTGTGCGATATTCATTTAACCGTTTCTTCATTACAATGGTTTTGTCATTCCAACAAGATTATCGAGAGTTTAGCATTTACTTGGTGTACAATTAATTTTTCTGTTATTTAGTTATCTGTTCACAACACACAATGTTTCGAAGATCAATATAGATTGTTATTTCATAAAATACGATAGATTATTTATAACTTTTAATGGTATGTCTCGGTATTATCATAGACGACTTTCGTGGGCCCCACTTTTTCTACTTATTACAACGAAAAGCCAGGCAGTTACGCTCTGAATTGCGAAAACGCGCCTGTTTTTTACGTCGTTAATGCTTTATGCGAGTTTTCCTTGTTTTCAACATTTCTGCTTTCTGTTGTATTCAATATTGAATTCTCTTTTTTTTTTATCGTTTTTGCGTTACGCTTCGCGTTTACATTAAATTATTTCACGTTATTATTATATTGTTTTGCATACTCATATCAGTGCAGCAGCAACTGATCACGTTGCATACATCGTTATTTGTGTCTTTATTTGTTTTATATCCGGTATATATATCAAGAGTTCGATTTCTCAGAAAGAAAATCATCTATCTTTACGTAAAAGCGTAAAGTGGCGTTTTACTCTCAAATTCGTATTTCGTCAGATTCAAGAAGGTCGGCTTCGCTAGTACGTGTTATATGTATTATGTGTGTACATGTGTATATTATATACGCGTTCAAAACGAACGGCTTTGTCAATTCTCGAAATTTACGTTTTCAAAAAAGAATATCGTATCAGCGATCGTGCATTGCAACGTACTTTGCAAAGTAATCGTAAGCGTTCGTACGCTAATCATAAGTCGTTTATGAGACTCCAATGATTATAAAATCATATTACATGTATCCGTGAAACGTATGATTTACAAACGCTCGTCGTGACAAATACATTAAGCAAATGTTGATTACTTCGCATATGCTTCGCGTAAAACAGTCCAATTATTTTCCACATATGCTCGGCGCACATCGAAGCTGACATTATTAGTTATAATTCATTTCTGTTATTCATATATATACGTTATATATCTTTTTTTCCTGTTCCTACACGCAACTCAGGAAACTGAGAGCTTCGGAAATGTAGGAGAACATGGGACTCACTTTTCCTTTTTTTTTTCTTTTCAGCAAAATTTATCCGCGGATGTCATTTTCTTAACATGCCATTTAAAGCACTTCCGTCTGTCTTTCTTTTTATCCCTCTTTCTCTCACTCTCTTTCTCTCTCTCTTTCTCACAGGATCTTGCTCCTTTAACTATTCTCAGACTCGTTAACTGTCATTTTACTCAAATTATATAAAGTTTCTCATTGTCCTAATGCATTTTACGCAATAACAAATCTACAAAAATATAACATTTTATCTTATCACCATATCTCATTATATTATCTCAATAAATGGTTTCCTCTTTTTACTCGCTTTAATCATTTTCATACACATGTCCTAAACATGTGCCTGCCTCGTCTTCATTACTTATTTTAATAATCGTGTTCTGTCGTGCTGTCTTGTTATTTCGCTGTTATATATCATTTCTATTGATAAAAGAACCCTTGTTTTTATCTCTTTTAAACTCCGATGATCTTTGGTAGAAAGTCATTTAGACTATTCTACACATAAATAGCATATTTTTAACATAATCATCTCCTATTCCGATGCGTAATAAATACATACGCACCTGAATTCTATATATACACCATATCAATCACACTGCGTCACTTATAAAGCAACTGTTCATATGTACAATTAAACGAAGAATATTTCTGGGAATATGCTACACTAGGTATGCACAGGAAAGCTCGATTTTTTAATCGTAATAAAATTAATTCATTTTTCAAATATTTAACAATCAATTTGACACATTTTTAACAAATTATTAGCAATTTTTGTCAAACTAAAATATTGAAATTGATATTTATATATATAATATATAAACAATATTTATATTATAATAATATTGTAATGCACATAATATATTGTCAATATAAATTTAATAGACTAAATATTTCTAACAAATTGGTCTAACAAATTGTAGCACATGCTAATGTAGCATATTTTCCAAACAATATGAGGCATATCGTAAGAATTACTTCTCAACAAACACTTTTATATTAAATATCCTTACGATATGCTTCAAGTCTGTTATTAGATGGAAACATTATCGTATCTAAACCTCAAATTCCATTCAGGAAACCCGTTCACACAATTCTCCAACGCAAATAAATATATGATTTAGATCACGTACACACATGTACATACGGTGAACATACCCGTATGTATACGTGTCTATAACGATGTAATATGCCACGTGTATGTACATCATTATCGTGGCTTTCGCATTTTCTCTCTCTCTCTCTCTCTCTCTCTCTCTCTCTCTTCACTCTTCTATTTCTTTCTTTCTCTCTTTCTTTCTCCCATTCGCTCGCTTTCTTTCTTTCTTTCGCTTTCTTTCTCATTCGTTCTTGTAATTACATATACTCTATATTAACAATTTCTCTCATATATTCATACTCTCAGGTACAATACATTCACACACTTTACACAGGCACAACTTACGTATAATATACTGCATGAGAATTCTAATCTAAATAATATATGTATATATATATAAATATATATTTTACCTATATGAAAAGCATCAGTCTCCATATGCTAATGACTGTCTCAGTGTCCCATCTGACATCATTCTTATCTACAAAAATCAATTAAATGTTATCGTGTATAATATGGCGTGTATGCGTGTCTACGTGTCAGACTACTTCCTTTGTCAATCAGATCGAATCACTGAGATACATCACAGCGAGCATTTCATATAATACCGGAAAATATATATTTTCGTGTAAAAAAAATAATCACACTTCTTAAGAATTAAATACTTATAGCAGCTGAGACGATTTGTTCTGAGTAGTAAAATTAGCGCATGCATACACTAATCAGTCGAGTTCCATTCCATGGTAATGCGAGCAAAATTAGCTCGCATCGTTTTTAGCACAAGCACGATTTTTTGTCTTTCTATCTTATACAGAGTGGTACGTTTGGCAGTGAGGACATCATATATCGCATACGTCAAGAACGGGTACAATCCTTACATCGTGCCGCGTGCTATCGAGACACTGCAAGTAAAGATTTCTTGTCTCCTATTATTAGATCAATATTTTGGACCCATCAGAGCTTTAGAACTATTGTGCACATAACATTTAGAATACGATCAGATAGCTTTCAAATAGCTACCAATAATTAGAAGATGAAACTATTTTGTCCGAAATAATATATTAATTTTTTATTAGCTATTAGATTTTTATATCAGCTAATTTAGTATATTTAATTTAAAAAATTTATGTCACAGTCTCTAATTTAGTATATTTAAAAAAGCAGATAATTGCAATAAATTTCAAATCGTTCTAAGTCAAGGTAACTGTTATTGATTATAAATCTAATGTTCTGATATTAAATTTTAATAAATAGAGCATCTAAAGAAATCTAATTAGGATAATTATGTTTTTGATTATCCGCATAATCTGCGGATACCGTATACATATTTTCTCGAAAAGTTTATCTACCAAAATTTTGATGGAAAACTAGTGTAAAATATCTTTTACTAATAAATTTATAATAATTAATAATTTAATAATATTAAATTTGATAATTAAAGAATTATCCCAAAACCTTTGTATAACAATTTCGAAGATTGATGTTCCAAATGTTACTGGTACACAATTGCTCAGAATATATAAGTAGATTGTTAACAGTCTTGAGTCATAATTTGGGAGTGGTTGCAGTCATTTTTCGAGAAGTTTTTCTTTTAATATCTAATTTTCCGTGGCAACAGCAGTAGCGAGCGGTGCATCGCCCTGCCCCTTTTCCATACCCTTACCATTCTCCACTGCATCATCAAACTGACCTGGTACTGGCAGTGCGTCTTTTGTTAGTAGTGCACGAGCATTATCGATTTGAGTTTCGCTAAAAAAAGAATGTAGAATTATATAAGTTATTTTATATATACCGGGTGTCCCATAAAGACCCGAACAACGCTTAAGAGGAAATTCCTGAGATCATTTTGAGACGATAAATGTGAAGATCAATAAATGATTATAAGACATGTTGGCATATGCAAAAAAACTTCAAACACTTACTTATAATCTGTGATTCCATCAATACCACGGCTCTTGGTATCCTTTTTCTCTGTTTCCTTGGTTTTCTTAACAGTAGTTTTCTTTTTGCTCGACATCTAAATGATTAATAAAAATGTGTTTAAGATTTCTATATATTGTTATCAAGAAAATTATCCGAATTATACTTTTCTCCGATTTTGATAAGATTTAAATATATACATAATTATATATGTCTTTTCTATTTATAAATATTTTTCTTATCTTATATGTATTCAGAAATACGATCGCCTTACGTTTACATTATGTTTATATGTGTATGTATTTTGAATTAATTGTTATTTCACTAAGTTTATAAACTTTACTTAACATATAAACGTTATCAATTTAAGCAATTGTCCGATAAATAATAGTTATTCCAAATTCGTTCTGAGTTTCCATCACCTCCGATATTTTTTTTCATTCATATACCTACAAGATATTTTTACCTTCATTTGAGTCTTCTTGCCACGTCCAGCAATCGGAGCACGGGTAGCTCCGCGTGTTTGAAATGTTGGTCGGTTTATCGGATTAAATCCACGTGGAAGACCGTATTTAATTCCACCAATAGAAGTTACCTACAAAAACACAATTTATCTAAATTGTGATACGAAATTCTTGTTATCTAAATAAAATATTATTGTGACGTATTCTAAACATGATTTATTATGTTTCTTAATAAGTTTCTAATAATTTCTTATTAGAGTTATTTCTTATTTAAGTCAATGCTTCAGAAGATGAGCCTAGAATTCAAAAGAGGAAAGTGTATGAAAGTTTACATGAATATAGATTGTTTGAACTTTATTTTTCGAGTTATATTAAAAAGAAAACTCTAAATGCTCGTTTTCCGCACGCTGCGGCATATTTCGATATGATCTAATGTAACGCAGACAGATCAATGTAATAATATATTTAAAACTATAATATATATAATTTTAAGATGTTGCACGTGCAATATCATTTTTCATTTTAAATTACGTTTTAAAAGATATATTTATGTAAACTTATCGTTTTTCCAATTAAATAAAATTTAAATAAGAGTTATAACACGTGTCTTTTAACATCATCACAAAATCATTAAAATTATTTATGAGAAGGATATATTTAAACAAAAGATAACGCGAATTCTAAAATTAATGCAAAAAGGATAAACTGAATTACAGTAAAATTGGAAATTCAAATTCAAATTTCAAAAGGGTAAGAGTTCTTAGAAAGATATGCTCTACAGAACATAAAACCTTATTTCTTATTAATAATTGTGATGATAAAAATTATTTTATTTAATCCTATTATATTATATTATTATATATATTATATTTTTTTTAATCCAAATAATTTTTATGTACACAATTGTGTAATCACATTTACGGTCTTAAAAACTTCTTTGTTAAATATTGTTAATATTTAGCTCTTTATTAAGAGTTTCCAAAAAATAAAGCACATGTGTGCACATGCTTTTACCATGTTTTATATATGTATATATACCATATTTTTTTTTTAATTACGCCATAAAGTGTTTCACAAACCTTACTTTTAGTTTTTAATAATAGCAAATACAAATTATCACATATCAACAAAAGTTTTCAACAAATATAATGTTAAATAATTAACAAAGACACATATGTGTGACTTGAATTATTATAAAAACAGTAAACAGAAAAGAATATTATAATAAATATTCTCAAATAGAAAGTTCACTTTTAAAAATAGATATGTCGTTTTTATTTATGTTTTACAATTATTAATTATGTGTAATTTTACGAATATTATATTTCATTACATATTACTCAGCTATTTAAATACATGCTTTAGAAATACATGCTTTAACTACTTTGTAAAGAGAAAAAAAATATGTATACATATATATGTTACCTAAAAAGAATACATATAAAAGGAACATCAGTTAAAATACTCTGAATTAAAATATATAGAAACCTTTATTTTAACAGTGTCCATATTACATATAAAAAAACATGCGATAATACAAAACCGCAATGCTACAAAAAAAAACATCATGTAAATATAATGTCAAAATAATTTCCTTTTCATCCTAATGATGTAATAAAGTAACACACACAATGAGGATAAATTAACTATCCTCCGCTTAATATACATTCTCAAGTACATGATTCCAGATTTATTTCCATGATGTATCGAACGTCTACATATAAAAACTATATAAAAAACTGTGTAAGCAAGTAACTCTGCATTAAATTGATTTACGTGATGTCCCTCCTAAATGCACGCATTATCCGATCGCACCAGCGACGTTAAATAGTGAAAGCGGACTACTCAATATCTCGAACGTTCCCCTAAAATCTGTCCAGAATATCGTCATCGTGTGCTTCTTACTCCATATACACGCAACGATATCGAGCCATCGTTATGAAATTACTTGCAATCACATACCCTATTGAGATCTATTATACCTTACCTGCGGTGGAATCCGTCCGCGAGGGTGTCCTTGCAAGGGTTGCGGCAATCGACCGGGTTGTCCATAATTTGGGCCCCATTGACCTACTACAACACCAGCGATTTCAAGTTGACCACCACGAGAAGGGATTGGGCGACGCATCAAACCACGTTGCGGTAATGTGCCGCTGCCACGACCGCGCATCAATCCGTCATTAATAGTACAATTAGCAGGCAAAATATTGGAGGGAACTGATACACGAATACCTGTAATAATATTAAATAAGATTATTATACAGATATATAACGAATAGATAAAAATTATGTATTCTTAACATATGTAGAAAAATTAAAATGCTACATATTAATTTTTGTTATATAGAAGAATATTAGTTCTTCATAAATATAGAATATAGAAGAATATTAGTATTTCATAAATAAGATTATTAGTTTTTATTATATTTATTAGTTATATATTAAATTTATATATATTTAACAATTTGATAATAACAAATATGTTTCTTTATAGAATGTTAATTAATTTTCTGTGTAATATTTGCATTTGAATACTATTCTCAAAAATATATGTAATCTTTGTTTTGTGATGTAATCGATATATCATAATCGTTTCTTAACAACTTTAATATTTTCGCAGCAATTTTCAATTTTATACAAAAAGTATGAATTGCGTTTGTTTATCCGGATATTTTATCGCAGTTTTGAGATTCATAGGGTCATATTGATGAACCCCATGAAGCAATATTAGCTGCTTTTGCTTTACTTCCATCCGAAAACATCCTATTACGAAAGATCATAGGATGCTAAGGAAACTGGAAGAGTTATTAATAAAAAAAAATAAACATAAGATAAAATAATTATCAAAATTCGGGCATTTTATCTATCAAATAAACTATACCAATTAAATTATACTACCAACTAAGCTATAAAAGTTGTTATATTAACTCTTTGTCCCTTTTTCTCTCAATTATAATAGCTAATGTTGTTAACAGCTTATGTGATAACATCAAATCATTAAATATCATTAAAAATATTACACTAATTAAATTAAGCAAATGTAACTAAATGGGATATAATAGAGTAATGTATAATTAACGCAGTGTTTTTCATAATTAATATTTTAAAGGCTATTATTTTAATTAGAAATTTATTAATTAGAAATTATTAGAAACTTATTAAGAAACTGACAAAAATCTCGAAAAACTCCAATTAAAGACAGATAAATAAAGAAGAAGAAAACATGTATAGCTAAAAGGAATGTAATATACCTGGCGTGACAGGTAAAGGCGGTCGCGCAAACACGACGTTAATTCCCTCGAGTATAGCTTTTCTCATTCTCTCGACCTTTACAACGCGGTCAATATGACCGCTGCATAATTCCAACAAGTTCTTGGCAATAGTAGCACGAGCCAGCGTATGATGGAACAATTTGCCATCAAAGTAAAGCCAGGGGCAGCACATTAACCATGGAATCGGCGCGCCACATGCATCATTCGCTAATAATGCAGTCTCAACACCAGCCATGAACAAAGTAGCCAGTTGTACACCGCGCGATGTCACTAATGGAAGCTGTATACAAATGACACGTTAAATGACCTATTAAAGTATTTAATCATTGCCTAAAATAATAGCTGTATTGTAAGAATTATACATTTTCATTTTACCTGTAAATCTTGCAAATACTGAGCATTCATAAGCTCCGGTGAAAAAGCTTGCGCGATGAAAGCGTCTAACTCCTGACGGCGCAAGATCTTTATTTTATCAGAAAAAGACATAATATATCTGCGAAAGGAACAATTAGAAAAACACTTATTGATCGAATCATGTTCAATTAATTAAAAAAAGAAATCTGATAAAAATAATCATGATCAATATTCACCTTAAAACACAGGCCATAACCAGCAGATGTTGCGGTACATACGAGGTATTTAACATTAGAGGTGTGTCTGATCTCATACAAGTCAGGAAACCCCTAAGCCTTCGCCTCTTATCATCTATAACTGTGCTGAAGAACAGGAAATTTTATCAGTTTATAAAAATTACATGAGTCTACAGAAAGTTTTAATTCTATAATCGATCCACGATGTTATGTATATGCAGTTTAATTAAGATAAAATCGCTTACCCAAACCATAAACGTTGAATCGTAGGCACGCCCCAGCCAATCTGCTCTGCTTTCACCAATTCAGGAGTCTGATATTGATTGGACTTGGACCATACCCATTCTTTTATTATTACATCCGGTATTTCGATCTTTTCGCTATCTGTCAAATAAATTTGCAAAATTTAATAGAGAAAATATGAATTTTCTATTATTTGTAAAACGTCATACTTACCACCTTTTTCTTTACTCTTCGTAGCTAGATACATCCGATGATGGAGATTAAACAAAATTGCATATACCATTTGTCGAATTGGTCTATAAATGACATGAATAGAAGGAAATTCACGGTGGTTTTCGTCTTCCAGGAGGACCGGCAATTTGATTTCACCAGCGATGAGAATTTGATAAATGTACGGTGACATGAGCCCCTTCTGGTGACGTTCCGAAGCGGTGCGCATAACTTCTGGTGATGTTGTAGGAATATTAGTTTTCTCCAGCTGTCTCGCAGAATCGGCTGTTGCATGGGATGGCGATGTCGCCGAGGAGCTACTACTCGAACTTGACGAGCTTATCAAGAGATTGTGAGTACCGTTGATAGCATGTCCATCGCCTGTTTCAAAAATTCCAGACGTTTAAGATAGAATACCAATAAATCGTCAAAAGCCGTCGATTTTTAGCCGGCATACTTTGCTCTTCCTCTGTGCGTATGGCATCGGCATCTCCATGGCCCTGAATACCAGGTGGATCGATCACAATTTGCGGCGCCGTCTTTGCGTTAGCTGTTGCCTGTTTGTACGCGTTCAAACTTTCACGTTCGCTCTCCAAAGTTTCAGAGGCAAATCTCGACGTTTCCAAATTAGAGTCAACTTCCGAGGCTGATGGTGTGTCGGACAAACTCGACTGAGTCTGTGTGCTCGGTTTGGAATCTAGTTTATGGACTGAAAAAGATCGGTATATTTTATTTTCAATTTATTAACTATGTGAAAACTAAAATTAACAACACAGATATATGTATATGCAATTACCATCTCCTTCTATGTTCAGTTTCTAGAATTTTATCTTGAAAATGCTAAAACATTTACTTTTCTTATATTAAAGATTAATATTTTTAAATAAAAAATTCTTTGATAGTACATCCCAATTTTTAAATATATTGAATTTGTTTGGTAATAAAATATTTGGAAAATGTTTTTAATATCGAGCGCGAGCGTGGCATGGCAGACAGCGCACTGATCTATCATGCCAGAGGTCCCGAGTTCGATCCCAGTAGGAACCAAAATATTTACGCTTGTGTCTCCTCTCGAAAAAGGCCGGCAACCTCTCGAAAGTATCTTTGCCCACAGAAACACCTCTCGAAAAATCCGCCGTTTGGAACCGGCATTACAACTGTAGATCCCATATGCTCGTGGCAATTGAATAATCAGCGTGCGCACCACAAGCATATGAGAGAGATGCAACACAAAGGCCTAATGTAAGAAGTTTTTAATATCAAAAAGCCTCACCTTTTGTTGGTTTCACAGGTTTGTAATGTAAAAATCCTTCTTTTGTTCCGTTTAAATAATATTGAACAGATTGTCTTAATTTCGAACACCTTGGATCAGAGACGGAACCGAACACCTTTTGTGAAACCACATCCAATTCTGCAGATGGAAGTTCCTTGACAAAATTCGCAATTATTTTAATCATTTGTTCAACGCTTGTCTTATTTAGCACATTGGTACTAATATTATTATTTTTGTAGAAGTCGGCCAAGTCGTTTTCGGTCAATATGTAATTTCCAAGTAAAGCTGCCAATATACAGAGCCTGTCGGATGGTATGTTGAGAGCTCTAGTGAGTTCAGAAAGCATATATTCTTTTGTATCGAGAGAACCCTGTTATGAAAAAAATATAATATGTTACAAACGGTAAATTATCGTCACATAAAATACTGATTTCTATTACTAAAAAACACATACCTTGTACGTAAGTTTTAATTGTTCGGATGAGAAGTAGCGTGGAGGATCAAATGCAGCATATTCTGCATCATCAGCTATGAGTCCGTTGTAATTATTCTCACGACAGTAAGCAATGACTTCTTGATGATGATCATCCATGCTACATAACTGTTAAAATATTAATAATGTTAATTATGTAATATTTTATAAATTTTAAAAATTATTGTACGCAACAATTAAAATATTACTTTCTCTTTTCTTGTGCATTTTAATTAAATTTTAAAATTTTAACTGTAACTACAAAGATAAAAAACAGAAAGTAATGTTTATTAACTTACGACTGTGACATTCAGATGCCTGAGAGCCATACGTAAACTGGTCCTTAAACATACAGGAGGAGTCCACCAGATTTTCGGTGGTGGCGTACCTTTCGTTGTTATATGTTTCAAGACCTAAACATTTCAGAAAGACATCTTTAAAAATTTTAATTGTCATTCGCAATTAATCTGAAAGAATATCTGTATGACGAACTTACGTTGTTAACTTTAGCGCGTACTTGCAACTGATGTTGCACCCAATCTGGTCTTCGAAGAGGTTCAAAACATCCATTAAAGAACACAGCTACCTCCAATCCTGACATTTCCATTGCTTGTATAAGAACAGCGAGAAATTGGAGCATACGATTCCATTGTCCACCACAAGCCCAATCTGTATCAAAGTAACAATAGTATTAATAATCAAATTATCTCTGTTCAAGACAAAAATAAAATGAATTTTAAAATTATACAGTAATACATAAAATTTGCCTTGTCAAAATTAAATTTATTTATGTTTATATCATTATATATATTTTTATTATTTACCTGAGAAGAATCCTCCATACAATCGATCCAAACAACATTCTCCATCGAGAACTAGTCTTAATTTACCGAAATTGTGTATTTGCTGTCCTTTAATCACACGATTGCGTTGAGATTTTTGAGCGACTATACGAGCTATTTTCAACAAGTCCACAGGTACAGATCCCCCTTGTACACAATTGCCGTCCAGGAAAGTTTGCAAGTCTTGAATGCCCATGTTTCTAATATTCCCGAAATGTATTCCGGTCACGAGTCACTTTAAGTTTGCTTCAATTTTTTCTTTATGTACACAATAGTTTTACTATCTTTTATAAGTTGCTTATTTTTGTCTTAAGACCAACAATGTATTTGCTCTTTTATGATCAATATATTTTTGAAATATTTTAAGACATGAAGAAACCTAATTCCAATTTCAAAAGTTTCAATCTGCAAAAGAGAAAAGCCGGTAATGTACTCTCAAACGCAATATCAATATAAGCTTGTAAATATTACTATCATTTTCATTAAGCAAAATATTAGCTATCTGCTGGTGATTTGTCAACAGATTTCACAGTCGCAAACCGAGCAGAATTTGTTGTTTCGTAACCATCAAAATAAAAACACTTATGCCAATTTTCACCAATGATAATTTAACTTTAATCTTGGTTTAACTAACTCTTTATTTTTTCTAGTTTTAAGAAGTAGGAAAAAATTAAGAATAAGCTGAATCGAGATTAAAATTAATCTACATTGGTGGAAATGGATATTAGGCTGGTTTCCTTTTAAAAAAAACAAACATTATTCTACTCTTCTTGACATTCAATAATAAAGATAGAACATGTTCGTGTAGACTGCGTCTCTTAAAAAGAAAGCAGCCATATCTTAGTACCCATAATAATTTTTTGGGCCTTTATTACACACAATAAGTCGTTCGTCCTTTTCTAATATCATCAGAAAGTATTTATAAGGTTGCATATTTAAAAAATGTATAAAATGTTACAACTAATTACTTGGTGCTCCAAGTATTAATAAAAAGCGTAAGATATGAATAACTCAATTGTGTATACTTAGAATTAACTACAAAACAGTAGATTCTGCTTGATTTCTGTAATCGATCGATCAATTACGCTAACAGATTTTGTTATATTTTTGCTAACATTCTGTCTGCAAGATTTGTAACAGATACTTTGTTTCTCACAGATTTTATCATGGGATACATGCAGTCTCTCGCAACGACCGTGACCAAGTTAGTTCTATCACAGTCAGCTAATAAACAATGACTCCATTTGCTTAACACTTCCGTTTTACAAGTATTTACAAATGAAAAGAGGGAGAACTAAAGCGACACAATTCATTTTGTACGTTGCTTCGTAAGTTGCGTCCCTCTACCCCTCTCCACGTCCCCGCCCCACCCTTTCCCGCTCCTTTCCTTCTCAAACGAGATGACAAGCCCGACGATGAATTTCCGTTTCGTGTCCTGTGGACCGTTTCGTTGCGGAGCGTCGCGGAGAACGTTGGAGAACGCGCAGTGTTCGGAATTACGAGGAACCAGTCGGCGCCATTTACTTTGTTTACGCGCACGTCGAGACGTCGATGTTAGCCGCGTTCACGCCGGCTGGCCTCTCGCAAGGACCGGTCCCATGATGGTGGGATGGGCCCAGCCCCCCGTGGATGGGGACCGTTATCGTTAACAATCGGATACAAACCCCGAATCGGAAGCGAGAAGTATCGGACGATACGAGCGACCGGTTAACGGACGAATCGGAGCAGTTGTCTTGGCATTGGTCGGCGGAGTATCGCGGTCGCGCTTGATCGCGAAAAGCGGCTCCTTCGCGTTACGGAGTACGCGGGACGTGCGCTGATACCGGGTTCTCACGGCCGCGCAAACACGTCCGGATGATCCGCGCGTGCCGCCGCGACGTGCCGCGTACTTACGTTAAATTAGCGATAATCATCGTGGCCCCAAAGAAACACAAAACACACGGGCTTTCGGAGTTGGATGACGTCGGAATCGAAAACGGAAATGACCACCCCGGTACCGGTGGCGCGCGCGGCGACCGCCCGGCACGTCGCGCAATCCGACGCTCCGATTGGCCAGCCCGTGGCGTCCCCTTACGTCACAACCCGGTCTCGACCAGCCGGCGACCATGGCCGGCCGGAACTGCGCGACGCGCCATTGTTTCGAAACACAAAGCGTTCTCGTTTCTCATTCTTTCTCCGAGAAAATTATTCACCGCAAATTGTCGACCAATACTTTATCGCATATTTTTTTTCGAAGCAGCTATTTTTTCTGTACCAACTGATTCATTTTGTTATTAAACGTACACGATAAAATTTTGTACTTTTGTATATACATATATTTTATAAACTTGTGTCTAGATATTAAATATTTAATAACGTTTACTTTTAATATTTTTTTGAAGTTTAATAAAATAACTTTAAAAAATACAATTAATTACTGAGACAAGATGTCTAATTTTCATGACTTTTAAATTATTATGTACTTATTATTATTATTATTATACATTATAATAATATATGAATTTATATATGACTCAATCAATGTTTTACAAAAAACGTTTAATTTTCCATAATTTTTAAGTTGCCATTATTTATTAATATCTTTTTGAACATTTAATAACTTTCAAAAATATAATTTATGACTCAATCAATGTTGTATAAGAGATAGTAAGTTTTTCTTTTTTGTACTTTTGTACATTCATATAATAATATTTTATAAATGTATGTCTGATATCAATATCTTTTTTAACATTTAATAAAATATCTTTGAAAGATACTATTTAATTATTGAACTTACAACTCATCCGATATTGTACGAGATCTCCAATTTCCATTAAAAAATTTTATCTAAATTATTTATATTAATATATTGTAATTTTATTTTTATTTATATTCCTTTGAAATTTTAAATAATTGTATTTTTACATAAAGGATATTTTAATAAATTTTCTTTTTTATTCTCTCTGAACTCAATAATCTAAACTTAAAGTACGTAATTACTTTGACTTTTAAATATTAATGAAATACAGATCATATCAATATATAGTAGATATACTTCATTTTAATATAATTTCTGTAAGTTTCATGTACAAATACATTCACACATATCACAAACATACCATACGTCAGTAACGCTCAGTCAATGCTCTTTTCACGTTACTAAAAAGATATGGAAGATCAAAATGAAAAATATTGTAATAAAGTATTTAAATCGCTTCAAAATCCACAATTTAACTGGTATCAATAACAGACATTATCAAATGCCTAGGATGACAATATTGCGATTAATGCAAATTCGTATAGAAAAAGAATTAATACATTTTGCCTTCAGTTCAACATCCGCAACATACGAAAATTTCTATGATATCAGAAGAATCAACAAACTTATTAAGTTGTACAATCTAAATTGTTTACAAACTTGCGATAATGAAGATCACCTCCTTGGGAGAATTCGAAGTAACTATACATTGTATAGCTACGCTTCTAGAACAAGTCTTTTGAATATCGTTTTACATTCCTCTCTATTATTACAATTCATCGTGTTTTTCGTCTTCTTCCTCTTCGTCTTCCTTCTTCTCGTCATCAGAATCCACATCTAACACCTTCTCGCTGTTTGCCAATTCCTCGTCCTGCAATTCCTCCTCCTCGGGGACTTCGTCCAAGGAGATACCTAAATTCTTCCTCATTAATTGTTCCACGCTATCCGCAAAACTAGCGGTTTCTCGTAACATGTAGCCCGATCGCAAAGTTGCTGTACGGAACATCATCAGGGCGATGTCTTTAGCCGTCTGATCGGCCGAGTCAACCTCGACTCTGCGTAGCAGTTCTCGGATCAGTGGATGCCTTGGGTTGATCTCCAAAGTCTTCTTCTGGTTCAGATAATAACTCTTTTGTGGATCATCGGACTTCTGGTGTGCGTTCGAGATCGCCAAACGTTCCATATTGCCGGTCCAGCCAAACATACTGGCGACCAAAGCACAGGGAGAATCAGTCAGACGCTCAGACACTTGTGCCTTGCTGATGTGATCCTTCAGGCTGTCGCTCAGCCACTTGACTAGAGGCTCAAACGTCGTCTTCAATTGTTCCATTCGGTCCTTCGCTCGCTCGCCCTCATCTAGTGAGAAACCTTCCTTTGCTACATTTTGGAACTTTTTACCATCGAACTCCGGCAATGCCGATATCGCGTACTCATCCACTGCCTCCGTCAGATACAACACCTCATAGCCCTTTTTGTCCAGCCGTTCGACGAATGGCGATTTCTTCACCTCGTCCTCGGATGCACCAGCAATGTAGTAGATATGCTGTTGATTGGGCTTCATGCGGGATACATATTCGGACAGGGAGGTCATTTCCTTCTGCGTCGACGAGTGGAATTGCAAGATCTTGGACAGTCTCGCACGATTTTGAGGATCCTCGATTATGCCTAACTTGATATTTGTGCTAAATTCCTTCCAGAACGTCTGGGAATCCTCTTTGGGAATCTTCTTGATCATGTCTAATACCTTCCTGATGAGTTTTTTCTTGATAATCTTGATCAATTTGTGCTGCTGGAGATTCTCGCGCGAAACGTTGAGCGGTAGATCATCGCTGTCCACAATACCCCGAATGAAAGATAGATAATTCGGCATCATGTCGGTGAACTTGTCAGTAATGAAGACTCGCCTGACATACAATTTGATGTTGTCAGACTTTGTACCGTAACGATTAAAGCTGTCACTCGGCTGAACCTTCGGGATATACAAGACAGACTTGAATGTGACTTCACCCTCCGCAATGAAATGTGTCTTCGCTAGAGGTTCCTGATTATCCTTGGTGAGTGTTTTGTAAAATTCAATATACTCCTTTTCGTCAACTTCGTTTGGCTTCAGCGTCCAAATTGGTTTCGAGTCGTTCAACAATTCCCAATCCCATACAGTCTTGTCAACTTTCTTAGATTTCTTCTCATCCGCATCCTCTTCCACCTTAGCGTCATCCTCCTCATCCTCCTTGTCTGAATCGGTGTCCTCATCTTTCTCAGCATCCTTTTTCGCAGGTTTATCTTCTTCCACTTCTTCCGCGTCGACTTGTATAACTTTGCTATTCCACAAATATATAGGGAAATTGATAAACTGCGAATATTTCTTCACTAAGGTCTTTATCGTATCTGGTTCTAAGAAATCCGATGCTTCTTCTTTCAAATGTAAGCTATAAATATTTTAAAAAATTGCAATATTAATAAGATTAATTGTACAACGTAATAGAAAATAAGAATATGTATCGTTGGGCTTCAAGAAACTTTTTGAAACTTCCTAATTTGTTAAAAAGAATTGTACAACATACCTTACAGTCGTTCCTCTCTTCAAGGTATCTCCCCGAGGATCTTCAACAATGCTGAAGTTGGAGCTATCAGATTCCCAGATATACTGTTTATCGTCGTTATGCTTGCTGGTGACGACGACGACATTTGCAACCAAATACGCGGAATAAAAGCCCACACCAAACTGACCGATCATATCGTTCATATCCTGAGCATTAGTGACGTCCTGCATTTTTCCTAGAAATTCTGCTGTGCCAGATTTTGCGATGGTTCCAAGATTGTTTACTAGATCTTGCTTCGTCATACCGATACCAGAATCCATTATGTGCAGTAATCTGTTCTCCTTGTCTGCTTTTATTCTGATAGCCAATTCGCTATTTGTGTCCAGGACACCTTTATCAGTGAGAGATAATAACCTAATTTTATCCAATGCATCAGATGCATTCGAGATCAATTCTCTGAGATAGATCTCTTTGTTACGATAGAGAGAATTGATAATAAGTTTCATCATGCGATTAACTTCAGTCTGGAATGCAAACTTCTCAGCCCTATCTCTTAGTTCCTTTATTTGAGCGGTATTTAAACCATCAATCTTTATCGCTTCCTCCTCTCTTTGTACTGCTTCATGATCTGCAATAGAATTTAAATGTCAATTAAATGTATAATACAATAATTAATGTTCTTAGAAATAATAAGGCCAAATTTCATATAAGATTAATTGTTGATAAAGAAAATTATATTTATCAAATATAAATGAATAAATAAAAGGACTTATTTCACTCTTTTTTTGAACAGAAGATTCAATACTTAATAAATTTATAACAGATATGACAGATTATGCATACAAATTCAAAGTTAAAAATTGAACAAATCATAATCATAAAAGAAATTCCACTTTTGTATGAAATAAACCTGCACTTTTCTAAATTCTATTACAACATTTGAATAATTTCGCTACACATAAACTTCAACGAACTCCTCCCACCTGTTACAACACTACTAACTTTCTTTTAAAAATTATAGAATAATTATAAACAAAACGATTTTCTGTTCAATTAAACTGCAAGATAACAACCTGTTCGCGATGCATCACGGCTAGCTCCAAGATCGTCCTCCACGGTACCGGTGTTCTCTTCGACCTCATCCTCGGCCCGGACGAATCCTAAAGAGCAAGCAAGCGCAATAAATGATCAATAGGTAGAGTTTTCTCATCGTCGCCGCGTCGTGAAGGACCGTGAACGAGAAAAGAATCACCAACGAACTCGCACGCTGCCACCGCAACACTCCACTGTTTTTTCACCGACTGTCACGAAACAGCCGTGACGACGACGCGATATATGCGACGGTGCGGGGCGGCGATCC